TTTTTTGGTCTTTTGGAGACAGGGTCTCTCTGTAGCCCCAGCTGGCCTGGAACTCACTATGTAAACCAGGCTGGCCTGGAACTCAGAGATCCACCTGCCTCTGCCTTCTAAGTGCTGGGATTAAAGGCATGTGCCACCACACCTGGCCATTTAACATGTTTTTAAGGTTCATCCATATTGTAGTATATGCTAATACTTTATTCCTTTATATGACCAAATAGTATTCTGTCAAATAGTTACACTGTAATAGAGGTTGTCACCAATTGATGGATGTTTGAACTGTTTCTACTTTTGAGCTATTGTGAATAATGCTTTTATAATTACTCATGTACAGGTTTTTTTTATGTGTATAAGTATATGCCCTGCATGTATGTAAGTGCACCCCTGTCATGCAGTACCTGCGGAGGCTAGAAGCGGGTGTTGGATTACCCTGGAACTGGAGTCACAGATGGTTGTTAGCCACCATGTGGGTGCTGGGAATTGAAACCCTGGTCCTCTGCAAGTGCAGCCAGTGCTCTTAATCACTGAGCCATCTCTCTAGCCCCTATGTACAGGTTTTTATGTAGACATATTTTCTTTTAATATTTTTTTAAGTGGAGGGAAGCTGTTTAATTTTCTGTTGCTTTTGTTTGGGGTGTTTGTTTGTTTGTTTGTCTTGAGACCTAGTCTCCCCGTAGCTCCAGCTTGCCTAGAACTCGCTATGCAGACCAGGTTGGCCTGGAACTCAGAGATCCACCTGCCTGTGCCCCCGAGTACTGGGATTAAAGGTATAGCCACCATACCTGGCTATGTAGGCATATTTTTGTTCTTCTTGTGTATATACCCAAGAGTAGAATTGCTGAGCCTCATGATAATTCTGAGTTTAACCTTTTGAGAACCCTTTAACCATAGCACATTCCCACCAATAGGGTGTGAGGGTTCTAATTTTCTTTTACATTCTCCATCACATTCATATTGTTTTGTAATTATATCTGTCCTAGTGAATATAAAATGGCTTCTCATTGTGGCCTTGATTTGCAGTCATTTGATGGCTAATGATACTAAGCATCTTTTCATGTACTTATTGGCAAGTTTGAATATCTTTTGAGAAATGTCTATTTAGATCCTTCATCCATTTTTTACTTGAGTTGTCTTTTTATGGTTGAGCTGTAAGAGTTCTTTACAAATTATTAATGCAGTTCTTCATTAGGTATATGATTTACAAATATTTTCTACTGTTCTTTATGATATCAGTTGAAACCAAAAATGTTTTGTGTGTGTGTGTGTGTGTGTGTGTGTATGTGTGTGTGTGTTTGCACATGTACAACTGAAAGTCAGAGGGCAACTTGCAGAAATCTACCCTCTTCTTCCATCATTTGAGTCACAGGAATCTCACTCAGGTTGTCAGGCATGGCAGCAAGCACCTTTACTCACTGTGCCATCTGGATGGCCCAAGTTTTGATTTTATAGCTAAGTAGTACAATGCTACCTAAAGTAACAGAGTTAACAATGCAGTTAGTGGTAGTACTTTAAATAATTCAGTTGTATTTATCTTCTCTGTGTTTAGGAGTCTATACCAGAAGTATTAAAGATTAAAGTATGCAAGAAGGTGCTAACCATTTGAGCATGTAACTTTTTATATTATTTTAACTTTAGTCAAAGTACAGGTTGCTTTTCTCAAAGAATGTACTTGATTTTTGGAGAATATAGATAAATAAATATATGAACAAACAATAATTAAGTAGAATTTCAAACATTGTTTTGTATTTGATTATTGCCATTCTTTGATTTATATTAACAAGTGCAAAGGTTTACCTGAAACTTTTCTTAAATTATTTAAAATTTTAATAGGGAAACATCTTTAATATAGGACTGTGCAATTCACACTTTAAGATGTAAAATATTTTTACTACATTGCTGCATTTTAGGATGAATGTGATGCCTCAGAATATTAACCTTTCAGAGTTGAGGGTACATTGTGTATTTACTTTTTTTAAAAATTATGTTTTAGGGTATTATATGACTGGAAAGAAAGATTAAAACAGGGCTGTGAGATTATTCAAAGTACTCCCTACGGACGCCCTGCGAATATTAGTGGCAGTACCTCATCACAAAGGATCTATATCACTTACCGAAGAGCCTCTGAAAACATGACTCAGAATACCCTGGCTGTCACAGATATATGTATTATTATACCCAGTAAAGGAGAAAGTCCACCACACACATTCTGCAAGGTTGACAAGAATCTCAATAACAGTGTGGTAAGTAATTCTTTTGCTCTAATAAAATTAGTCACTGATGAGAAGAGCATAGTTGTAAATCTATTCTTTAAAAACAAAACAGTGGGAATTGGGAGATAGCTCGCTCAGAGGTTAAAAGCACTGGCTGCTCTTGCCAGGTTTGAATCCCAGCACCCACATGACAGCTAACAACTGTCTGTAACTCTAGTTCCAGAGGATTTGATGCTCTCTCTGTCCTCCTCAGGTATTGTACAACATGGGTGCACTTACATACATGCAGGCATAGCACTCATACACATAAAATATAAATAAATACCAAAATAGCATAACAGATTTGAAAAGTATGTGTTTAAGAATGTTAGGTATTTTATTGTTTTAGAAAATACTTTAGTTGTATTTCACAAGAAGTTGGGTAAAAAGGTTTCTCCTTGTCTTCATCCTGGTCCTCATCCTCATTCTCCTCCTCCTCCTTTCTTTCTTCCCCTTCCTTCTCTAACTTCTTCTAACTTAAATAACTTTTCCCCCATACCACAAAAGCAATAAGTTAATACCATGTCTGCCTCCACCCCTACCCCTGTCACTTGTGTAATGGATCCATACATACATAACTTTATGGACATGGCTTTGGCAATTTTTCCTTTATGTGCATCATGGGTTTTCTCCAGCATGCAAACATGTTACAAGAGCCCCCATATTTGTAAAACTCTTTGGTTCTGTATTACCCCTCTCTCCCATTGTCCCATTTCATTGCTCTTTACAATAAAACTTTTAAGAGTTTAGTATAGGGTTAGGAATGTAGGAGATGTAGTTCAGTTGGCAGAGTACTTACCCAGCATACATAAAGCCGTCCCCATTTTGTATGGGTTCCATCCTCTGCACTGTATAAACTGGGTGTAGTGACACACACCTGTAATTCCAGTACTCAGGAAGTAGCAGCAGGAGGACCAGAAATTCAAGGTCATCCCTGACTGCATAGCAAGTTCAAGGCCAGCCTAGGCAACCTGACTCTGTTACAACTCCCATCCCTGCAAAAAAGAGTTGAGTATATTTTGCCCCATTCCTCACTTGGACTCTTTCCAGTTAAGTTTTTTTAGTGCATCATTCCACCAAGATTTCTCTTGCTATTAAATCCAGTGGCCAGTTCTCCATCTTAGGTTTTCAGGTTTTGGCATAGATGCTCATTTTTTTTCCTTGTGGTAACAGAGGTAGGAAGAGATGAGGCTTTGTCCTGTATACTTGTTTATTTTCCATCCTGCCTCGACAATCATTCCCTTTCTGCCTTTGGTGATTCCTTCCCATCTTCCAAACTCCTATGCAGTGGCATGCCCTGGGATTCAGACCTCAGTGCATTTATCTTCATCATTGAAACTTATTCCTTTGTTGATCTAATTATTTTAATACACTGTGTGGGTGACTTCTAAATTTATGTATCTGACCGGACCTCTCTAATTTATTGTCTCTTCTTGGTTATCTTACCTAATTCAGCACTTCAAATCTAACACAACCAGTACTGAACTTTTATTGTACCTATTCAAACCTTGTTAGCGCGACAGTCTTCCTTGTCTAATAAATGGAAATTCTACTCTTACAGTTACTCAGACTAGTGAATCTTGGAGAAATATTAGCCTTTCTTTTTTCTTTTCTACTTCTCATAAGTTCTGTAAACTATGTTGACTCTAATTTCAGACAGTATCTTAAATCTTTTGCTGTTTGCTTGTTTATTTGTTTTTTAAGACAATTGACCTGGAACTCACTCTGTAGACCACACTGGCCTTGATCACAGCGATTTGCCTGCCTCTGCCTCCCTTGATCACTTCTTAATGACTTCAGTGCTATAAGCTTTGTCCAAGCCATAATAGTCCTTAAACTTTTTTACATTTATTTATTTTGGATGTGTGCGCGTGCCTATGTATAGAGGTCAAAGGACAATTTGTAGGAACAGTTCTCTCCCACTCTATGAGTCCCAGGATTGAACCCACTTCATCAGGCTTGGTGAGAAGTGCTTTCACCTGTTGAGCCACCTCTCTGGCCCCATAAGAATTTCTTGGGGGTACTATCATGGTAGTCTTCAAATTCACGAGTCAGGGAAGCTTGTTCCTTAAATAGCTACATAATGAATTCTATTTTCCAGGCTAGGTAGTTTTGGTTCCATATTCATCTTTTTAAAAATTTAGGTAGCCTCAATTAAAATTGCAAAAAATTTTAGTCGTTACTTTGCACACATATATGAATTATCACACTGCACCGTATGTATTATATGTCAATTGAAAAACCATTCTTAGATCAGGTTTTGGGGACAGAACTTGAGCTAAATTCAGAGCATGGTTTGCCAGCTTCTAATCTAACTGATCACTGCTTCTGCTGTGGGTAGCCTTTTTTTTTTTTTTTTTTTTTCCACAGCAGCAAGGGATCTTTTTAAAATATGAACTAACTCCTTTTATCCTTTGCTTAAAACTCTTAATAGATCCCTATTTTGCTCTCAGTAAAAGTTAAAGTCTTTCCAATGGCCTTAAGACTATGACTGATCTGTAATTGTCTTTTTTTTTTTTTTTTTTTTTTTTTTTTTTTTTTTGTCTTTTTGAGACAGGGTCTCCCTGCAGCCCCAGTTGGCCTGGAACTCACTATGTAGACCAGGCTGGTCTTGAACTCGCAGAGATCCACCTGCCTCTGCCTCCCTAGTGCTGCTGGGACTAGAGGCGTGCACCACCACACCAGGCATCTGTAATTGTCTTTGTCTTCATTCTTTTATTGCTAATTTAGGTTTAAAAAGCAATGCAAGCTGGGCTGTTGTCAGTTGAAGACTTCTTAAATTAACTATATGATAAGTTAGAAATCACTGTAATTTTAACGTATTTCTTTGGCTATTGTGGAGGTTGAGCATCTTTTAATGTATGTAGTTCCCCTCACCCACCCCATACCTGTGTAAAACACAATCCAAAACTGCTAGTGACCCCTCCCCTATATTCTTTGGGGTTTTTTTTTATTATGTCTATTCGTGTATGTCTATGTGTGGGTATGTTCACATGAGCACAGTTGCCCTTAGAGACCAGAGGCTTCCACTGGACCTGGAGTTGCAAACAGTTGTGAGCTGCCTGATCTGGGTGCTGGGAACAGAACTCGGGTCCAGTGCAAGAGCACCTTGTGCTGTTATTCACAGAGCCATCTCTCTAGCACCTCCCTTGGATTTTTAAGTAACATCTAACCCTATATGTACTATTTTCCCCTACATATATGTACTTATGATTAAGTTTAACTTATAAATAAGATACAGTAAGAGATTAGTAACAGTAACTGATAATAAAATAGAACAATTATAACAATATTCTGTAATTAAGTTGCTAATGTCATTACTCTGACACTTTGGGGAGAATGTAGGCATTGCTATTGCTACCAAGTGGGTAATGGACATATAGCATATGTAGCAGATGTATTCTAGACAAAGAGATGATTCATGTCCCATGCAAGATGGAGCAAGTAGTACCAGTCCTCGTGATAAAGGCCATGTAGGTTCAAACTTACAGTTTAATGAGGAGAGGCTCACAAGGCCCCACTCCTAGCTGAGAACCTATTGGCAGTTGATGGCTGCTGGGGATGGGAAGGTCATTTTTCTTTGAGGGTGTGGCCACTAGTAAGCTGCCTATGTGCCAGTGAATGGCCCGACAGCCATACACATGCAGGTAACACTAATTCAGTTTTTTGGTTTTGTTTTTTTTTTTAAGAAGAGGACATGAAGTTGGGAGGGGAATGTGTTCAGGGAGATTCAGGGAGGGTTGGAGGGAGAGAGGGGGTATATACGATTAAAATATATTATATACATGAATAAAATTCTCAAGGAATAAATAAAAATATTATGTTAAAAGGCCGGGTGTGGTAGCACACACCTTGAATCTCAGGACTCGGGAGGCAGAGGCAGGCAGATCTCTGTGAGTTCCAGGTCAGCTGGGACTATAGGGAGACCCTGTCTCAAAAAGACCAAGCAAACACCAACCAAAAAACCATATAGGTATAAATGTTAAACTAACCCCCCAACACCCCATAAAAACCCCTTTTCTAAGGTAGACTGAGTGTATAACTCAATGGTAGAAGACTTATCTAGTATGTGGTAGGCTTGGGTTCTAGCTCCAGCATTGCAAAAACAAACAAAAGAATACCAACCAACTCCCCAACCCAAAATTTATGAGTTGTTTATTCTGGAAGTCTTAGTTTAATATTCCTGGACCACAGTTTACCACGGGCAACTGAGCTATGTAAAGTGAATTGTATAGATAAGGACTATTGGATATAGCAATTTTGAATGAAGATTGCAGCATTAAATGAATGTGCTATGATTTATTTGTTCTATCTTCCACTGTACAACATTGAAATTCTGATTTTTAAAAAACATTATATGCCAGCTGTTATTGATGTAACTAAATCTTCCATAAGATAAGTTACTGAATGTGTGGTATGTGTTGTGTGGCCTTCTAAGTATTCATTCACTCAGCTAATCCTCTAATTTCCCTTGGTAGATATTTTCCCCACATTTTACAGAGAAGGAAATTTGAGAATCAAAGAAGTAGCTATCTTCTCATAGCAATACCGTCAATAAGTAGTTCAAGCAAGATTCAACTCAGGCTGTTGCACTCCAGAACAAATGCTCAGCATTGTTGTGTTCCCTGCTAATTTCCTTATTGCATGTCCTGTAATTTCTGGATTCAAATATGTATTTACTCTTGAGATTTTTATTCAGAAAAATTATAACCAGTTTTTGTTCCTGCTAATTAAATATTTTTATAACTTTGCTAGCAATTACATTTTTAATCACCAATTTCAAATTTATTTTTTTCTTCAAAAATGAAAATCAGAGTGTTCTTTAATTTTTTTTCAATGTTTTTTTAAATCAGAGTTTTTCCAAATTTAATTTTAATCATCTAGATCAGATATTATTATGCTATAAAACTAGAAGCAGTGCACACATCTGTAATCCTAGCACTTCAGGAGGCTGAGGGAGGAGAGAAGCTGCGATTTCAAGGGACTTTGGCCTACATAGTAAATTATTCAGCTTGGGATATAGAGTAAAACCTTGTCTCAAAAATAAGAAGTTATAATTATTTAAATTAGTATTTTGCTAAAGTCTACTTTGAGTATATCTTATCATTTATCAAGTTTTTATGGGAAGTTTATTTTTATTTTTTATTTTCTTTTTGAAAACTATTTTTATCTTATATGTATGAGGGGTTTATTGTTTGTGTTTTATTTTTGTGGTTTTGTTTTTTGTTTTGGGGGGGTTGTTTGGTTGGTTAGTTGTTTTTTGTGGGTTTTGTTTTTTGTTTTTTGTTTTGGTTTTTTTTTTTTTTGGTTTTTTTTTTTGTCTTTTTTGAGACAGGGTCTCCTTGTTAGCCCCAGCTGGCCTGGAACTCACTATGTAGAGCAGACTGGCTTTGGACTCACAGAAATCCACGTGCCTCTGCTTCCTGAGTGCTGGGATTAAAGGCATGTACCACCATGCCTGAGTGTTTTGCCTGCATGTATGTAAGTGCAGCTGTGTCATACAGAAGAAGGCATCAGATTCCCTAGAACTGGAGTTACAGATGATTATTAGCTGCCATATGGGTGCTGGGAACTGTACCTAGGTCCTCTGAAAGAGCAGCCAGTGCTCTTAACCAATGAACCATTTTTGCCATTGAAACTAAACCTAGAAGTATTGATTTTCTTTTTTCCCCTGATGAAACAGTAGTTCCAGTATTGTCACAGAGCATGTATTCTCACTGCAGAGAATAAAGAAACATTGTAACATTGTCGGATCAGTGTATACACTCCAGCCAACCTGCCTGAGTTTGAACCCTAGATGTAGTGCAAATTCCTTGACTTTTTGTGCCTCAGTTTCCTCATTCATGGAATAGGGGTAAAGTGATGCTCTATAGCATAAGCTTGTTTTGAAGAATTAAATGAATTACTATTTGTAAAAACTGTAGAGCAATGCCTAGAATACAGAATGCTTTATAAATGTCAGATATTATTAGTTACTCCTTAGTTAAATCTGTTTTATACTTTTTGTGTATTTAATATTTAGAGAAGAGTTTTTAAAAATTGTGTCTAGTTGTTAAACTTTTCTTTTTAAAAAACATTACAGAAAGAAATAGATGGTTATTTTCTTACTCTCCAACAAAGTATCATTGTTGATCATTTCTGTCCAAGGTTGGGACTTAGAATAGAGTGGTAAGTTTTTGTGATTTAGTTTTATTTTTACAGGGTCAAATTCCCCATGTGTTAATGCTATTGTAAAAAGGAAAATCGAATTTCACTTCTGAAAGAAAAGTAGGCAATGACTCCACTAAAATGCTGACAAAATAACAGATTGAGATTAGCTAGCAGGAGGACTGTCTTACTACACGGTAGCTAATGCATACTGGAGAGCTCAAAGAGAGTCTGTTCTTCTCGAATTACTGTCTATTACAATTGAATGTTATTATTTTTTCTCTTTAGTGGGGATCTGCAGTGTACTTATGCTATAAAAAATCAGTGGCAAAGACTAACACTATATCTTATAAAGCAGGTAAGCATAACTCTTCAGGAAATCTTTTATGCAGAAGTATATTATGGGGTCCACATGGTTAAAGACAAAATCTGCTTATAACCATGTGACATGCGGGATATGATATATCAGAATTGATTGATGCTAAATCTCTTGATTCTCAGTTTTATCTTCATCCATATGTATTTGGATGCTGTAGGGAAGATTACTTTGAAAACCGATGGGGCTTTTAATCCTTAGGTCTAAATAATAAGTACATACCAATTGTCTTTAACTTTTAAACCAGTGGGAAGTATGCAAAAGATGCTTCTTTAATATTTATGTTAATTTAGTAAAATTTATAGTAATATTGCATGATGATGAATAATATTATGAACTTATTTGCAATTTTATGGTTCATAGTTGAAATTTTCAATTTTCAGAGACCTCAAAATGTTAAACATACTGATCCTATTTGTAAGATATCAGATTCTGCCTTTTAAAAAATATTTTTAGGACTGGAGGGATAGTGTAGCCATTAAAGGCTAAGGCTAGCAATTAAAAAATATTTTTTAAATTAGAGTCCTAGACTCTTTTCTCCCTTAATTCATCAGTGTTTCTGTACTTACTTTACAGCTGTACTGTTGCATCATGACCCAAGAGAGTAGTACACAGTTAACTGTAGATCCTCAGGAGACCTCACTGGCTGACTAGCACGTAATTAGAGAACCTTAGTTTATCTCATTCATTTCACCTTACAGATGAAAAAACCTGAGTCCTATTTGTTGAGAATCACAGACACATTGGTGGTAGATTTTCAGATTCAAGCTGTTCAGAGTCCCAGTTTATCATTTTATTTTGTTTTATGACCCATGATGGTTTCTGACTAACTTAAAGGACTTCAAGGTCATGGAACCCCATGATATGCAGATAAGGCTCTGTTCCTAGGTTGTGTTCAGTAGAAGATATCTGTACCAATTTCATGACTAGACTAACATGACATCGTGGGCCACTTGAAACCCTTACCTTCTTATAATTGGGGACTATTAGAAACTGAGTTTGAGTGATACCATTCTGATGACATTGTAATCTGGCACTGCTTTTTATAGTCTTTTATTTGTGTTAGAATTTGCATATACACTCCTAAGGAGTGTATATTTTAATGTATATAAAGGTCCACCAAGGGATAGTTATTAAGAATCAATAAAGTAGATATATGCAAATAACCATACTGAAATACATGCTTTAAGGTAGTATGACCATGAAGTAAATTGTTATTTGTGTGTGTGTGTCTGTGTGTCTGTGTGTCTGTGTGTGTGTGTCTGTGTGTTTCTAGAAGGTTGTCTTTTTCTTATTGCTTCTAACCTAGCCTGTGTAGATGACGCTACACACTGATAAATGTTAAATGGCTAACAGTTACAATCCTTGAAGATTAAAGTATATGATGCATTAAGAATTATAAACACCTACATTCAAGAAATAATGACCTAGTATTTCCCATTGCTTTGATAGGTCTGATTTGCAGATATCCTCAAGAGGATTATGAATCCTTTTCACTTCCAGAATCTGTTCCCCTATTTTGTTTGCCAATGGGTGCAACTATTGAATGTTGGCCACCAAAAAGCAAATACCCTCTACCTATATTTTCTACATTTGTGTTAACTGGAGCCTCAGCTGAAAAGGTACTGGTTTTTTTGTTGTTGTTTTGGTTTGGTTTGGTTTTTTGAGAGGTCTCACTAAGTAGCACTGGCTGGGTTGGAACTCACTTTGTACACCAGGCTGGCATCAAACTCAACAGAGATCAACCTGCCTCTGCTTCCTAAATGCTACCACACTCAGCCCTGTATTGAATATTTTAACAAACAGTATTTACAAATTTCTTGTACATTTTGAAGTCATAAACTTTATATCTGCAAGGAACAGTAGAAAAAAAGATAACTAAATTGAATCAATTATACATTCTTCTGTTTGATTGATGTAACTATATCTAGAGACATTGGAAAACAGAATTTTCATTCTGTCCCACCCTCCCAAATGCTTTTTGGTTAATATTAGTCGAGACTTTCATCATCAAGTGTTGATCCTTCATTGGTTTATTTTCTGTGATAGAAAAGCTTTGAAACAATATTAAAGGCACTTTAAATATATAACAACATAATTAGAATCATAGTAGACATTCCCCTCTTTTATGTTTTTACTCGGGATCAAACCCAGGGCCTTGCACATTCTAGATAAGTGCTCTACTGCTTAACTACATTCCAGCCCTAAAAGTATAGAGTTATATAGTTGGAAGGGAGTTTGGAATCATCTAGACTAACATTTTAATTGTATGGATAGGAAAATCAAGGTAGACGTAAGTGTTCCAAGTTCAGATTTTCCTACTTTCTACTAAATAATTTTCAAATATTTTCTTACAGAAAATATTGATGTAGTCTTTTAAATATTTATTTAAATTTTTTGGTCTTTTTGAGACAGGGTCTCCCTGTAGCCCCAGCTTGCCTGAAACTCACAGAGATCTGCCTGCCTCTGCCTCCCAAGTGCTTGTACTAAAGAAGGCATGTGCCACCATGCCCGGCTTTATTTATTATTTTTATTTTATCTATATGTGTGTATTGCCTGCATGTAGGTAGGTGCACACATGTTGTACAATGCCCATGGAGGTAAGAAGAGGGTGTCGGATCCCCTGGAACTGGAGTTACAGACAGTTGTTAGCCACCATGTGGGTGCTGGGAATCAAACCTGGGTCCTCTGCAAGAGCAGCAGTGTTCTTAAATGTTGAGCCATCTCTCCAGCCCTCATACAGGTTTTTTTTCACATTTTTGTAAATTTGTTTGTTTTTGAGACAGTGTCTTGCTATATAGACCTTGCCTTGAACTTGCACAGATCATCCTGCCTCTGCGTCCTCAGTGCTAAGATTACAGGCATGAGTCACCATATCTAGCCATAGTTGCCTTTGCTTTCTTTTTTCTTTTTTAAGATTTATTTTGGTGTGTGTGCATGTGTTTGTGTGTGTGTGTGTGCACGCTCTAGCACATGTGAGTACAGATGCTAGGAGTTGGGGGGGCAGAGGCATTGGAAAGATTCCCCTTGGATCTGGAGTTATAGGCAGTTGGGGACCACTATGTCAACCTATGTTACATAAGACTCTCTCTTAAAAATAATAATGGGCTGGGCATGGTGGCGCATGCCTTTAATCCCAGCACTTGGGAGACAGAGGCAGGCAGATCTTTGTGAGTTCGAGGCCAGCCTGGTCTACATAATGAGTTCCACGACAGGTGGGGCTACAAGGAGACACTGTCTCAAAAAAAAATGCTGGTATTTCTCCTTCAGCGAGGCTTTCATGAGTCATGTCATTTTATTTCACACTGTTCCTGTGAAGTCATGAAACTAAAATAAATACAGAAGCTGGGACTAGCGGGGCATGCTGGCAATCACAGTAACGGAACTGGGAGGTGGAAGCCGGAGGATCAGGAGTTCAAGGTTACTCTTCGTTCCATTCTAGGTTTCAGGATAGCCTGAGCTACATGAGACCCTATATCAAAAACAAACAAGCAAATAAATAAATAAATAAATAAATAAATAAATAAATAAGGGCTGGAGAGATAGCTTCAGTGGTTAAGAATACTTTTCCAGAGGAATGCTTTTCCAGAGGACCTGGATTGGGTATCCAATTTCTATATAAAATTAGCACAATTACTAGGAAAGCAAGAGTAGTGATATTACTGCTGTGTTCCTAGTTCTTGGCGCCTCACCTGACACGTAGGAAACATCCACTAAGTATTTGACTGATGATGAACATTTGAATAAATGATAGAAAGTATATTTATCAAATACATTACTTGTCTTACAGGTCTATGGTGCTGCTATTCAGTTTTATGAACCATATTCTGAGGAGAATCTTACAGAAAAACAGAGACTTCTTTTGGGTTTAACATCTTTGGCAGATGGAAAGTATGATAGTTCCAGAACAATTCACACTAACAAGTGCATCTGTCTTCTGTCTCACTGGCCATTTTTTGATGCATTCAGGAAGTTTCTGACTTTTCTGTATCGTTATTCCATCTCTGGACCTCATGCCCTTCCAATTGAAAAGTAAGTTAAAAGTTTCATGGGTTAAAATTTGGCAGAACTTTCTGTGGTATATTTTTACAAGTAATTGTGTAAATTTTATATGGAAATTGGATTTCTTGAGAGTTATTTGATATCAGCATTTAGCACCAAAAAAAGGATTGGAGGGGTTTATTTGAGAAAAAAAAAGTTTTTTTTTTCAGGTAAAATTTCACCTTTTTGTTTATTTATTTATTATTTACTTATTTATTTATTTATTTTTATGTGCATGAGTGTTATGCCTGCATGTATGTAAGTGCACCCATGTCATCCAATGTCCACGGAGGTCAGAAGAGGGCGTTGGATCCCCTGGAACTGGAGTTACAGATGGTTGTTAGCCGCCATATGGGTGCTGGGATTCAAACCTGGGTCTTCTGCAAGAACAGCCAGTGTTCTTCACCACTGAGCCATCTCTCCAACCCCTAACCATTTTTTTTTACAGTCTCATTTTAAATAATTTTATTTTGGCCAATGAGTATTTTTACTTATTTTGGAACAAGTTATTTGGAATAAATGTTGAGAATTTAAAAAATACTGACATGAAGTTTATAGATTCAAATTTGGTAAAATATTGGAGCTGGTTTTATTGCAGTGTTAGAGATCAGACCCCAGGGCCTTGCACATGCCAAATAAATGCTTTACATTGCTGGACATGGTGGCACACGCCTTTAGTCCCAGCACTCAGGAAGCAGAGGCAAGTGGATCTCTGTGAGATCCAGACCAGCCTGGTCTACATAATGAGTGCCAGGCCAGCTGAAGCTACAGGGAGACCTAGTCACAAAAAGACAAAAAAAAAAAAAAAAAGCTTTACATTGAGATGCATCCCCAACCTGAAATACTGGAATTCTTAAACTACATTTGTAATTTTTTTTTTTTTTTTTTTGGTCTTTTCGAAATGGTCCCCCTGTAGCCCGAACTGTCCTGGAACTCACTGTGTAGACCAGGCTGGCCTAGATCTCACAGAGATCCGCCTGCCTTTGCCTTCCGAGTGCTGGGATTAAAGGTATGTGCCACCATGTCCAGTCACCACATTTGTAATTTTTAATGTATAATTAAGGTATTATGAATCTTTATAGTTTTCCTTATTTATATATCATGAATTTAAAAGAAAAATTAGATGAAAACATTCTGGTTTTCATTTTGTAATTTTAATGATTTACTTTAAGATCACTAAAACACCAATAATATTTCAGGCAGTAGGACCTAGCACAACGAGTATATAAATATCTCACTGCCTATTTGACTGCTGTCTTTAGAGGTTCATGGACTTTGATCTCTGTTACTTTATGCCATCTATCTCATAAGATCTTCTATGCCCTTTGGTAGAATTTGCTGATTCTAATGACTCTTGGGAAGTAATACAATGATCATAAAAGCATTCAACATACAATATTACTCTAGTTATTCCTTGCTCTTTTCTTCTCTTATTTTTAGTAATCTAAAACTACATTTCTCAAAATTTTTGGTGTTAGGACCCCTTTAAAATCTTATGAGAAAGCCCCAGTGAGCTTTACTAATGTGTGTTAATACAGTCTATTACCAAAACAGAAGTTATAAAACTAATTTATAGTTTTTTATTTTAATTCATTTAAAATTTAATAAAGTGGGACTGGAGAGATGGCTCAGCGGTTAAGAGCACTGATCGCTCTTGCAAAGGACCTGGGTTCGATTCCCAGCACCCACATGGCAGCTACAAACCATCCTTAACTCCAGTTCCAAGGGGAATACAAAGCCCTCCCAGACCTCCATGGTATTGCATGACACGGGTACACTCACATACATGCAGGCAATACACTCATACACATAAAATAAAAATAATAAACAAATTTTTAAAAGTATTTATTTAATAACCACATACTTAGATGAAGCATTTCATTACAACAGCATTGACATATTCAATAACAATATTCTGAGCTAAGATGCATCTCTTTCAAAACTGGCTGTAAATTTTTAGGTTTACAGTTGAATTATTACAGTTATA